AAAAAAAAAGGTAAATTAATTAATCGGTTGTAAAAAAGCACGGCTTATAAAGCTGTCTAAGGCGGTGAAAGTCGCATTACGATGCAAATACAATATTAGTGTGGTGTACGGTTAGGCGCAAGCTTAAAATAAAATGATGTAAACAAGTTTCCAGTTATCAAAGACTTTTTTAATAATATTAAAATTGAACGTGTTTGTGACTAAAAATTTTCATAAACAATTGAATTAAAGTCTTTTGTTATTCATGGATGATTTTGATTAAATAAAATCAAATGCTTTAAATTTTAAACGAACGCATTTGAGAAGGGTGGTTTTGCATGGATTTTTATTTAAAAGCAAAATTAAAGCTATATACGAGTACATACATATTTGCTATTCATATACATATATGTATTGAGTTACATGTATGCACATATATTCACATATCATTGAGGGATGTCCTCCAAATTGGTTAGTTGGTGCTGGAGCATTCAAGCGACAAATCAATTCATCGATTGTAATTGAAGTGAAAACAATAGAAAGGCCGATTTTCAACATCTCAAAATAAATTAAGGGTTGAAATGTTTAAGCGGCGACAGCAACACAAGCGATATTTGACAAATTTCAAGCTGACAGGTACAGTTAAGGCAGAACGAGACTATATCTGGTTATGCAGACCTTAAAGATTAAATGTTGTTACCAAAAAATGAAAAGCATCAATTTAAAATCGTGACGAAATGATTACTCTACTTTCCTTTTTACTTTCATAAATTAATTATGATATTTTCGTCACTAAAAGTGCTCTGCTGATAAGTAGATTAATTTCAATTTTATTAATTTTATACTCTTAAATATTAATTACTATAAGTAGCGTAAGTAGCGTACATTGTGTGTATGGCTTTATTGTAAAACCAAGCAAGAGAATATGGATGGTGAGTGACGAATAAATCCCTTGTCTACCATTTTTTTGGTGACAGCACTAATTGACCATATGCCGATAAAAACGTGTTTGAGAGCAGTTGAATGAGTGCAATACGCACGTTAAAAAAATGAGAAATACTGCAAATTATTTGTTGAAAAATGTGCGTGCCTACAAAATGCTAGTGAGAGATTTCTCTTTATGTATTTGGATATATATATATGCATGTAAAAATATGATTTAAAAACCTAAATCGTTGGAAAATCTAATAAAAACGTGTTGGCCTTAAAGCTTCCAGAAGAACCTTTTGCTGGAACTCTAATTAAAATTTTTTCTTCTTCTTTCTTATTGGCTTACGCGATCACGGGCGAGTTAACAATAGCACGACAGCAGATTTTCCTTTTGCCTTTTGCGGACCCCCTAGCAAAAACATACCTTTCCAAAGGAATGAAGAGATATCGAGGATGCAGACGACATGACTGAAATAGCGTGGCTGCCGTCGCTTATTCATTGAATTATGATGATGTCGTCTGTGCCTGTCGCTGTTTTTTACAATATATATATTTTAAATAATTTGCGCTTTGTAACCGTTTAAGTGATTTTCGGCAACATTTCCAAATCTTTTGCAAATCATTACCAACTCGAAAACTCCTAGGGCCAACTCATCAGAGTTAGTCATCGTAAACGCTTCTGCACTATATATCAGGATGGGAATAATGGGCGACTCGTTGAGTTTGTTTTTTATTCAACGAGAGGTGACTTTACTCTTCAAGTGGCGACTCAATCCAAAGTAGTACCTATTGCAAGGATGATTCTGCATTAAATTTCAAAGCTGACGAAATTATTGACGCCTTCAGATTGTTACTGTCATCAGCAAAGTGGGAGCCAAGACACAAATGCGCGGACTGTTCGTTTGATGACCGGGGACAACCGTCTTGCGCTCATTTACTACCAGACCTAAACGACTCGCTTACTTCCCCAGTCTGGAAAAGGCACAAAACTGAGTCTTTATTCAGAGAAAATTTCTTACAGGGCATTCACTAACCTCAAATATTCAGAGCGCGTGTGTGCGTTGGATAAAATTTGCATATAAGTAATATCTTTTCGATTATGCATGATGCGTGATTTAATACAAAACAAATACTTAAATGTTGAAATTTAATTATTAATGCTGAATTTTATTATAATACAACAATACTTTTTTAATAATAATACTAAGCTGCAATAGCCGAGTGATTAGCATCGCGTACTGTCATTCGGAAGGCTCGGGTTCAAAACCTGGTGTCATACTAACATCCAAAAATGTATAGAAAATTAATTTAAAAAAAAAACTAAGCTAAATTTTCTAATTGCGGTCGCTCCCCGGCAGCGAATATCAACCCCTCCAAGTGTATTTCTGATTCTCTTCATGAAATTGCTCAGCCGTTCGGAGTCGGTTTAGTATAAACTGTAGGTCCCTCCATTTGTTGGAAAAAACATCAAAGCACAAAACCACAAATTGGTGGAGGAGCTTGGCCAAAAATCGCTTCAGCGGTTACAAAGCGCCAATTATATATGTTTAATACTATACTACTTATGAATTTCAAACTTCTATTTGCCCATCTATGCACTTTTTTCGTACTACATGCAATTTGTGTTTTTTCATTCCATTTTAGTTTCGAATTTTATTTAAAATATTGCTGAAATTAGTCAAAAAAATTAAAGCACATTTAATGGCGCATGAGGTTTACAACAACTGGCGAAACGCCAAATGCAAAAAAACACAAATTCTTTTCTATCAAAAAATCTCTCTCCTCCACATCACGTCATGAATCTGGCAATTTGTAACTCACAGTTGCGCCTTTGATGAAATTTTCACCTCTCTGCATATGAGTTTTTTCTTTAATTAAGTATGAATGTATGTACATACATATGTATGCATGTATGCATGTATGATTATTTATGAGCATGTGTCGTTGTAATGAAAATGCAACTGTTGACAAATCGCGTAGTGATAACACATACAAATTACCCCACTGAAAGCAACAAACATGTGCTAAGAATTGAAAACTTAATTTAAATGTTTACAAATTACAACGGGCAAAAGAGATTAAGGAGCTTTTAATTATGCACTTTTTTCTTATTTTCAATATAAAATTTTCAGAATTTGATAAATAAACGGTATGTCTTAGACATAAAATATAAATATGAACCAAATAACGAACATAGTGCTGAAGAAATGGACAAAAACTAACAATTAAAATATATTATTCACATATACAGTATACATACTCTCTTTTTTGTGGAGAAAGTAGGAAATAAAAAATGCTCGGCAATTATTAGCACTTGGGGCCAAGGGAAGTGGGTCATTCGTTTATTTTACTTGTGTTTTTTCTTCGTTTCCCTGGCGATTGGTCATTTTCAAATCCGTCGACCCGAATATTTAAGTGTTTCAAGGTCCATAGATTAATTATAGTTTGGCAGCAAGTAAAGCAGAGAGTGAAAAGATGTCTTGCTTTTGACAACAGTTTTTGATAAGTACGCAGTTGTTTTGAGGATAATTGTATCTGCTCTGCCCTTGATCTAGCTTTTTGTAGCCATGAATTTGTTTCCTATGTAATCTTTGCGGCATATATTAGGAGATATATATGTTAGTTTTGATAAAATAATCAATTAAAAGCTTAATTAAAACTGAAATAAAATTAAATATAGGGAAACCAAAATAGAAAACAATTTTTTACAATTAAAAAGCAAAAAATACCAACAAAAACACATAAATTAAAATTAAAAAAAAAAAAAAAAAATGGAACAAACTATATAAACTAATTACAAACAAAAATTTATTCAAAAAGAGTTAAATAAACTATTTTAATCTCAAGTAAAATAAAATATAAAATTATTAAATAAAATAAATTTGTATAAAATAACATAAAGCAAAAAAAAAAAGAAAATAAAATTAAATAAAATAATATATTATAAAATAAAATAAACTTAAATGAAATAAAATATAATGATTAAACAAAAAAAATAGCGAAAATATCATAAAATAGAATAAAACAAAAATATAAATAAAATAGGATTAAAAAGAAATAAATAAAAGAAGTAAAAGCAACATAATAAAATAAGCATGATAAAACAACATTAAATATCTTAATATATTACAAAATAAATTAAAAAGTGAAATTAATTAATATTAATAAAAATAAAATTGTATACAACAGAAATAAAATAATGCAAAATAAAATAATAAAAAAATGAAAAATTAAATAAAACTAATAGAAATAAAATGAAATATATAAAAATATACAATAAAATAAGATAAAAGGAAATAGCACAACATAAAATTAAATCAATTAAAAAAATCAATAAAGTAAATAAACTTCAATTAAGTAAAGCTATATAAATAAAAGAAAGTAAAGTAAAATATAAATAAACAGAAATGAAATATTATGAATAATATTAAAATTTGACAAAATAAAACTAAATATATAAATTAAAGTAAAATAGTACAAAGCGAATATAATATAAAGTAAAATAAAATAAACTAAAATAAAATAAATTAGAATCAATTAAAAAAAATGAAAACTTCAATATTAATAAAAATTAATTAAAATAAAACTAAATAAAAGAAATACGGTAAATAACATAAAATAATATTAACAATAAAAAAATAAAAAAAAATAAAAATAAAAAAATTAAATAAAATAATATCATGTAAAACTATGTAAAATAATGTATAATAAATTAAAATCAATTAAAATAGTATATAAGCAAATTACATAAACCAAAATTAAATAAAATATAATAAGTATATATAAAAATAAAGTAAAATACAATAAAATCAAAAAGAGAATAAATTAAAAAAGAATCAAACAAAATAAAAATATATGAAGTATATTAAAATAAAATTAATTAAAATATCCTAAAACAAAAAAAGAGATCAAAATATCAAAAAAAAGGAAATAAAGCAAAAATATATGTGAAATAAAATGAAACAAAACAAAATAAATTATAAAAAACAACATACAAATTTCGTAAAATGGAAGTAAGAAACTACAAATTATAAAATAAAATAAAATAAATTTAGAAAAGACATGCATCGGTGAAACTCAGTATACTAAAATTCAGTTAACAACATAAACTGAACGATACAATTCAGAAAAATACGCAGCAGAGCTCTTATTTCCCAACACTTAGAATGGTATGTACGAAAATCCTTGGTATTTATTTAGATCTGCAGCTTTTTGTAGAATTTTATGTACATTGATTTCTCCAAAAATGTTCATTTCTTTTAGTATACGAAAATGAAAACAACATCTAATACAAACCAATATATCGAAAAATATGCACACATACATATATACATGAATACGTGCACGCAGTGCGCGTTTGAAGCGAAACGGGAAATTTGAGTAGCCACCCAACCCATTTTCTTGTATATGAAATAATAAATTTTAAATATAAATTTATATATACACATACATATCTTCTAAATATTTCGGTTTTCTAATTTTCAGCTAACCGAAACGCGAACATACGTGAACCCGAAACGATTAGATGAGGTAAAAATAAGTAATCATGTCATTTCCATAAATACAAAAGAACAGCAACAAACCAGGCAAAAATACATGAGCTTTTTGTGTATATGTTTATATGCATGTATGTATATTCATGCTGATACTTTGTTGATGTGTATTTCAAGAAAATAAAAAATTAGAAAAACAAAGAGGTATTTTCGACTCACATTAACAATTTTGTGTGGATAGAGAAGGCAAGCTTTTTCATTTTCTTACTGTTGCCACACTAGCACCTGCTGGCCATGTTAGCTTCTCTTTGTTATTATTATATTATTCCAATGTGCGGTGTCGGCTTCCAAAAATAGTCAAAGCGCCAGCCGATGTTTGGTTTCGGTTGTACGAGTACAAAACTACCAAACAATGCTATGCAGGTGTTATGCAACAGTCGAAAGCTCTTCTACAGCGAGTGTGCGTGAGTGTGTGTAGTGATATTGGCTGGTGCGCAAGGAGCTTTTGCATGGAAATATGATCAGTGCTTTCGTAATCTACAAAGCGGTAGTAAAGTGGATTAAATGTCTTTCAGAAATTTTTTTATTCGGAAAAATTTGCTTCAAGGCTAACAACAACTGCGGAATACATCAAAAGAGATGAGAAGTAGAATCCTCTATATGATCAGATAAATATTGAAAAGTCTCCTTGTGATGAACAAGTGATCTGCTTGGCAACTTCTTCACTCTCTTCAGCCAACTTAACAACAATCCCCTCCCCCATTGCCTCGGCATCCATAACTTTTTTGTTTCGTAAAGTCATTGATATATAAAAATTAAATCTAAAAAAGTCGTTTTTATTTATAAATAATTATAAATTGTTTTAATTTAATTACATAAGAAATCATTACATTATTTTACATGTGGCAAAAGTACCCTTAAAATAATAATGCGTTCGTTATGCTTTCCATAAAACTATAAGCAAAATCAACAGTTAATCGAAATGAAACGAAACATACATATTTATAAAGTTAGATTAAATGACAAACATAAAAACATAAATCTGGTTCATGTGTTCCACAGTGATTTGCTGTTTTGTTCTTGTTCTTGTTCTTGTTCAGTCGTTATGAATTTTCGATCTGGAACCAGTGATCATTGGTGTTGTTTCTTCTTCTTCTTCATTTTGTTGTTGTGCGATGTTGATGACAACATATTTATGCATATAAATAAATTAACGAATGGGCGGGCATCTCTGAAGGCATGTTGTTATTGTGATAGCTAATAGGGTAATACAGCATTGTCATCATTATCATTATGAATGATGACAACAACACCGTAGCCATATTAGCATGAACACGTAAAAGCGTATTACTAGTTGATAAAAATAGTAACTGCTTAGAAGCACTTGCGGTGGACAATGCCAGGGCCGGATTCGTCGTATTCTTCCTTGGAGATCCACATCTGTTGGAAGGTGGAGAGGGAGGCCAAGATGGAACCACCGATCCATACGGAGTATTTACGTTCTGGTGGGGCAATGATCTTGATCTTGATGGTGGATGGAGCCAAGGCGGTGATTTCCTTTTGCATACGATCAGCAATACCTGGGTACATGGTGGTACCACCGGACATGACAATGTTGGCGTACAAGTCCTTACGGATATCAACGTCACACTTCATGATGGAGTTGTAGACGGTTTCGTGGATACCGCTAGATTCCATACCCAAGAATGAGGGTTGGAAGAGGGATTCTGGGCAACGGAAACGTTCATTACCAATGGTGATCACTTGACCATCAGGAAGTTCATAAGACTTCTCCAATGAGGTGGAGGCAGCAGCGGTAGCCATTTCCTGTTCAAAGTCCAAAGCGACATAGCACAATTTCTCCTTAATATCACGAACGATTTCACGCTCAGCGGTGGTGGTGAATGAGTAACCACGTTCAGTCAAGATCTTCATCAAGTAGTCGGTCAAATCACGACCAGCCAAGTCCAAACGGAGGATGGCATGGGGCAAAGCATAACCTTCATAGATTGGTACAGTGTGTGAGACACCATCACCAGAATCCAAAACGATACCGGTGGTACGACCGGAAGCGTACAAGGAGAGCACAGCTTGGATGGCAACATACATAGCTGGGGAGTTGAAGGTTTCAAACATGATTTGGGTCATCTTCTCACGGTTAGCCTTTGGGTTCAATGGGGCTTCAGTCAACAAGACTGGGTGCTCCTCTGGGGCTACACGCAATTCATTGTAGAAAGTGTGATGCCAGATCTTTTCCATATCATCCCAGTTGGTGATGATACCGTGCTCAATGGGGTACTTGAGGGTCAAGATACCTCTCTTGGATTGAGCTTCATCACCGACGTACGAGTCCTTTTGTCCCATACCGACCATCACACCTTGATGGCGTGGACGACCGACGATTGAGGGGAAGACGGCACGGGGCGCATCATCACCGGCGAAACCGGCCTTGCACATGCCGGAGCCTGTGTGGAAGGAAGAAAAAAAAAACAGCCGTGCGTAAGTTAAAAATTCATTGTGCGGTGCTGTAAGTGTAGAAAAAACGCGCGGCGGAAGACGAAGAAACGTGGCGGGGAAAGTGTTGCTTTGTGTGGCATTTGAAAGAGGCGATGAGCATTTTTGACGTTACTACACTTTTGAGAAAATGCAGTACGAGCGAGTGTAAGTGTGTCGTAGCTTGGCGATCGAACATAAGATTTTAGTTTTCCCTAATATTCGCGTATTTGAATTATGAGAAAATAGTATTTGAAAAATTTTGTATGGAAGATCGTATATATGTATGTTGTTTTATGATTTTATACAACCCCTTTATGCTCTTAGGAAATCTAACCTAAAAATTTTTTCCATTAAACTTTTTAACTTTCACAAATTTATCCGTTTGCACTAATTGAACTAATTGAGAAACATATTTTTAAGTTGAAAAATGTTTGCTTTGGCAATTCAAAAATATTGTATTGCAAATATTCAGTATTAAAATATCATTTGGGATTGCAAAATTTATTATTATTCCTTTGAAATTTTTTCCACTAAAAATTTATTATTGAAAAAAATAGAGAATATTTTTACTATTTTTATTTTTAGTTGGGAAAACAAATTTTTAATGCTATCAAATTATATTTGCCATTTTTTAATAAATCTCAAATTTGCGGCTGACCTACATTTTGATAGAAAGTTTTGATTTCGCTTCCTGCACAAATTTGTGACCAAAAAAAATCGCTCAACTTCCAGTTTTGAAAATGTTTACTGCCACTATTTTCCTGCTACTATTTTTCCTTTTTTTATTATTTGTAGCACATTTTTAATTGGTTTATGGAGCATCCGTAAGAAGTATCCAGCGCACGGAAAATTTCCCCTTCCACAAAGAGCGGAGGGTCGCACTATGAAAAATGCTGGTCAATGCCAACGCCCTATTTTTTGAAACTAGATATTTCTCTATATCTCATTTGTCCTTGGACTAAACACAGAATGTGTTATAAAATATTATTTTTTTTTTTTTGATGTACTGGAATTTGTTTGTCCTTTTTTGTTTCATATTTTCTTTTTTCTTTTTACTGATGTTTCACTATTCATCACAACAACACTTTCGCCAGCTTCGTCTCCTGCCGCCGTAAATCCTTTGCAAAGTAATCCAAATTGCTTTCGAAATATCCAATATTCCAATATTCCAATGAACGCACCATTGTCTACGACCAAAGCAGCAACCTCATCGTCACACATTTTGTTAGAGTTTTGTGTTTGTTTAAAACCACGAGCAAGAAGAAATAATTAATGAATAATGGCAAATGTGTACGCTTTGGAACACAACTGACTGACTAAAGTGCTTGGGCCACTACCAGCCGATTTTATACCAATCAAGATAAAACTACACTTTTCATTTGCAACACATCGAGGAAATCCAAAAAAATTCTTCGGCAGCAACGATCGCTTAGCGGTAGCGCCTCGCAACACCTCGCCAACACCCGCGCAGCTCCACCAAAGCGGCAGAGTTTCACCTCCAACGCCAACACAATGAACGACGAGACATCGACACTCACAAATACACTTATACAGCCACCGCACACTACACACGCACACGCCCACAGGTGCTAGCGCGCAACACCAATACCACGAAATGTATTGGGGGGAAATATATGTTTACGATTCTTCAACGGCACCACTAAAAATAGACCGTTCATAGCGCGCTCATCGTCGTCGTCGTCGTCGTCAACGTCGTCGGCGTTGGGACGCGCACACAGGCACATGCAAGGCGATTGCTTGCTTTGTATGGAAAAAAACGATTAACCGAGCGATCGTGCTCCTGCGCATTGTAACACCCCCACTCGGCAGACTAATTCAGCGTCAGTAAGTACATGCGTATGTGTATATGTGCCGTTATAGCGTCACAGCAATGATCATGATTACTTCGCTTTCGACTTTTGTTGGTGCTCGTTGAACTTACGAATTGCCCACCTTCGTTCGGCATGATCGGGTGCGATCGTTGGTCTGTGTGCTTGTGCGTATAAATGTCTGTGTATGTTTTATGGAAATTGGTTTGGCTCCCCACTAAATGCGCTCCAAAAGCGCCGTATAAGGCAAGGCTGACGCGTCAAGAAGTCAGCAGTCGCTGTGTGCGTCATATTGGTGGCTGATTTGCGGGCGAGGTGTGACGACGGGGCAATTCATTTTTAACAAATTTATTCTCAATCTAAAATATGCTTCCTTCGCATGGCGTGTTTATTTTGTGTGGGATGGAGAGAAGAGAGAGAGGGGAGAGGAGATCACATAGCGCATACCAACGCGATGGCTGTCTCTTTTGCACGCCATCATTCGCTTAGCACACACTTTCGTGGGCAACAGCATTTCGTCGCTTTTTAAACAATAATATTTTCAATATTCTATTTTCGAACATTTTCAAAATTTTTACTTATTATAAATTTTTAATAACTACATATATACATATTCTTTGTGGCTCTCGCTTTCTTTGCGGAGCAGAATTTTTCTCTCATATCTCCGTATCACTTTTGTGTGACCCCCACGCATTTGTAGCTAAATTTGCTTTTGTACATGCATATGTAGGTATGGAATTATGTTGGGGTATACATATATATAGTAGCAGACATTTATGTATCATAATATTGGAATTTTTTCTAAATTTCTGTACAATATGTTCGACTAATATGCAGTTGTGCTGAGCATCAGC